AGAGGGCTTTCCAGATGTGAGAGGTGTGGCCACCCTGCAGATCAGGTGGTTTTCCTGCTCAGCAGATACCTTAGCTGAGATGAAGAACGGGATGATCTGGAAATTGCAAAATGGCTTAGTCTTATTATAAAGCTAACTGTGTTATTGTATAAACACTGTTCATTTATTTTATTCCGCTCTGTGGTAGGATGAATTTGGGGCTGGGAAACGGAGGCAATGCTTTTCCTTTAATTTGTGAGAACAGGTGTCCAGGTGGCCCTCCCCAGACAGCTGTAGAGAGGTCAGATGGATGGACCTTGCCCTGCCAACCCACCAGGCCAGCAGGTCAGGAGCTAGCAACACCAGCGTCTTCATCCACAGGGGCAAAGCAAGGCCTCGACATGGCCTGGAGAAGGAAATCCCTGACTTCTACTTTGCTCACTGTGAAGAGAAAGAAAGCAGGGGACAGCCGAGAAACAGGTGGGGAGTGTGGCATTCCCAAGAATGCAGGAGGTGGGGTGTTGGGCTGTCTGAAAGAACTGCTGGCAGAACCTTCTCTATTCTGATACTTCCCTGCCCAGGGCCTCAAAGCTGCTGTAATTAAGAATCAAAGAAATGTACATTCAAATAATCAAAGAGTATTTCTTAAACTTATCAGATGGGCAAAATAGTAAATGTTTTTGAAATTTGCCTGTTAAACAGGTGCTCTCAAATCCTAAGGGAAAGAGTCCTGTAAGCTTTCTGGAGACATAATTTGAAAATATGTAGCCCCAAATATATCCTCTGACCCAGAGATTCCACTTTTAGGAATTTATCCTAAGAAAATTATGCATGTCATAAAGAATCACCCACAAAAAAAGGTAACTGTAATATTTTTATAATGGTGAAAAAATTGAGACTTTGAGTAGTGGATAAATTGTGCTATTTTTATTCATTATAGTTCTGAGTGATTATAAATATAGATTAGTTTCTTTCTTTCTTTTTTTCTGAGATGGGGTTTTGCTATGCTGTCCAGGCTGGGCTGTCAAACTTGGAATCCTACAGTCTCAACTTGCCAAGGTATGGATTCATTAACATGGAAAATGTTCACAGTATACTGATGGAGTGAAAAAAGTTGATTTCTGAACAGTATTATGATCCCATCTTTTTAAAGAAAAATGTATTTATATTTATTACCTATGGCCAGCTAACAAATTAGCCTACAACTTTGTATCTTAAAATAGCAATTATTTGTTCACAGGTTCTGTGAGTCAGGAATTCAGGGTGGATTCAGCTCCTCACAAGGCTCCTGAAGCTTGACTGGGCCACAGGAGCTGCCTGCAGATGGCTCTCCCACTGGCAGCTGGCAGCAGGAGGTCCATACCCCACACATGGACCTTCTGCAGGAGCTCCCTCCTGACATGGAAGCTGCTTTCCCCCAGGGCAAGTGAGCCCAAGAGCAAGACAAAGATGGTCACACCTATCAGGACCCGGCCTCAGAAGTCACAATTTGTATCTTCTGTGATAGTCTATACTACTGATAACACAAATCCATCCTATTTGGTGTAGGAGGGGACGACATAGCAGCCTGAGAACTAGGAGGCAGGGGTCCTTGGGCCATCTTGGAGGCTGTCTATCTCAGTGTTTGTGCTTGTTCATTCCATAAACATCTTTTGAGTGCCTACCAAACATCACTCTGGGGACATGCCTTCTAAAAAGAGAGGCAAGCTTGCTGCTCTCCAGGAAATCACCTTCCAGGGAAGCGGAAGTAAGAAAAATCCTTATAAACAGTGATCAGTGAGTGAAGGGAAGAATGGGGGAGGTGATGTTGGGGTGGGGCAGGGGCAGATAAAGAACCTTGCAGGCCATATAGGGAATTTAGATTTCATTCTAAGTGTGATAGAAAGCCACTAGAGGGTCTCAAGCAGACACGTGACATGGCCTGAGTTATATTTTTTCAAGGATCCCTCTGGCCCAGGGTGGAAAATGAATTCAGAGGCAAACACAGAAGCAAAGAGATAGGTTAGAAGTTCTTAAAGTGATGGCTTGAAGAAAGACAGGAGCAATCCTAGTGAATGTGAGTAAGTGTGTGTGTGTGTGTGTGTGTGTGTGTGTCCTGTTTTTCTCTCCCCCCACCCCGCTACCCCACTTGGCCCTTGGCCCAGCACAGTGCTGGCACGGGAAAGGAGGCAATAGTCCAAGTGGATGACACTCCACTTGGACTGACCATCAAGAAATGGTGCTCACTGTGTGACATCCAGTCACTCCTGTTCTGTGCCTCAGTTTCCTCATAAGTAAGAAGAGAGATGCAAATGAAGTCAATGGTTTGCTGATTTTTTAGGCAGTGAAATCATATCCCCCCCTCAATCAGAAACAGCATTATGACATACAAACCAACTGAGAGAGAGTGCTGGCAGGAGTGGGGCTGGGCTGCAGCCTCCCCACCAACCCCAGCTGACCCTCACGCCCACTACCGCTCCACAGGCTGAGTGTTCCCTGAATGCTCATCGTCAGCCAGTTGGCTTGATTTCTGCCAGGCCCTTCCTGCTGCCACGTTGAAATGCTCTGTTCCACGTCCCTCCACCTGGCAGCGTCTGGACATTCCATTCCATTCCATTCGTACACAGGGCTGTGGGGCTGGGAACGCTGCACTGTCCCTACTGGGAAGGGAGGCCTCAATATCTGGGCAAGGAGGGCGAGTTTTCACTCATATTTACCATCAGACTCTCCAGGCTCTCCAGGGAGGAAGAAGCTGCTCTGAGATCCCCCTGGTAAGCTGTCCGATGAGTGGCTGCTTTTCTCTAAGCTCCTTGGATAAAAACTGTCAGGGAGATTTTCTGGTTGAAATCTTTTACTCCCTCCAAGGCTGCGGCCCTGACAGCTTTCTTTCCCAACCAAGTTTCTCACTTCAGGGAAATATCCTCTCCCCTCTGAGCCTCCAAGCCTCCTCTACAAAGTGGGATTATCAACATCCACTATCCAGCCAGTGCATCAGGGCAGACATCCTCATTGTGAGAATATTCAAATATGCAAATACTGGTTGCTGAAAAGCTGGCCCAGTACTGAAGCTCTCTTGATCCCAACATTCCAGCCACCCCACTCTGAGGACCCAGATGTCCACAAGTCAGCAGTCTAAGTTTAAGGGTCACACAGCAGGAGCCTGCAGATCGAGCTCCAGCACTATGGACAGGCTCAGTTCTGACAGGCCAGGACCTGAGCCTTAGAGGCTATTAATATCATAATATTACCCTTGGCTACAGTGGTGTGAGATCATGTACATGAGGCAATCAGCATGTAAGTTCCTGTGGAACAGAGGGATAATAATTCTTTTAATCTTCGTAATTCACAGAGTTGGACTTCCCAAGTTTTATTTTCCTTAATTTTTTTTTTTTTACTGGTAGATGGACACAATATCTTTATTTTATTTATTTATTTTTAGGTAGTGCTGAGGATCAAACCCAGTGCCTCGCGTGTGCTAAGCAAGCGCTCTACTACTGAGCTACAATGACAGTCAAGTTTGTTTTTCTCAAAGCCCAGACCATTCCCCTTCCCGTCTACAACACATGGTGTCCTCTATCCAGAGCTCAGACTTTGAGGTTGCCACTTTGTTTATGTGTTGCCTTTCAAATATTCTTGAGTCTCTGTGTGGTTATGCTTGTTTCCTTTGTGGGTTGATTCTAGATAGGATGAGGTAAAAAGGGGTGAACCCATCTTACAATCAGTGGTACAGGAAGAGCTGTTCTCAGCCTTTAGTCTCCGCTGGTACATGCATAGCCCTGGAGCTCATCTCAGTGTACATTCAGCAGTCAGAGCTGCTGGACCTGCCTCACAGAAACCCACCTATGGACCAAGAGAAGCAGCTGTCTGCAGCTGACTCACAGAGCACCTTGGCCACGCACACTGAAGCAATAGAGTGTATGCGTCTTGCTTCTTGAAGTTGGTTAAATGGTAATCTGCCCCCCCCAAGATATGTCTAGATCCGAACCCTAAGAATTTATAAATGTGACCTTATTTGAAAGAACAGTGTTTGTAGATGTTATTAATTTGGGATCTGAAGATAAGATTGTCCTGGATTATTCTGGTGGGCCCTAAATCCTAGAACCTAGAAACTATTGTCTTTCTCACTGCCTCCACCTTGTAGGAAAAGTTTCTCACCAGAATGTGTTCTACACTGTACTTTTTGTCTTTTCCCCTTCCTACCAGTAAAAAAAGTTGTGAATCATTCATTCAAGAACATGAACTTTTCAGACCTGGCTGAGCTGGAGGCACCACCGTGGGAGATGAAAGTTTCAGCACAAAGAACCCATGAACCAGAACATCTACCAAGACTGTAGGACAAGTTGTACAGGTTTCTGCCTAGAGGAACCAACTCCACCTTCAACCAAGTAGTACTGAAGAGGGGACAGGAACCCTGGTCAGGTGGAGGGGGCGGGGATAAAATTTCACATGTCTAAGGCAAAATTCAAAGAGAGAATATTCAAATGAGACCCTTCATATCACAGGTGAGAAACCTGAGATCTAGAAAGGGGAATGGACTTGCCCAACGACACCCACCAAGAGACAGACCTAACATACCCAATTCCAGGTCAAGTCCATCTCACTACTCCAACTTCTCCTGAAGGGTAGATCTAGGGAGAAGGTCAAAAGTTGTAGCCAGGGATTCTCATTGTGAGGACTTGCAGCTTCAGCATTATCTGTGAACTTGTAAGAAATGCAAATTGTAGGCCCCATCTCAGACCCGAAAGCCTGGCAGCAGTCCCTGTTTAACAGGCCTCCAGGTGATTCTGATGCTAAAGTTTGCTTTAGGCAAAGGAATGATCTCTAATCAGGGAATTTTCAGAATGCAGGGCAGTTTTGGAGATGTTTTTTTCTGGGACTTTTCAAATGACTTGTCCTGCATTGAGATATTATTCAGGGCCAGCAAACAGGGCTACTAAGAGGAGCAGAACTGAGGAAATGCATAGGAGCCTTCTACTGGTTGGGGTGGCTTCTGAGTAGCCAGGGAGGCCCAGGCCCAGGCTGTGAGCTGGAGATGACATAAACAAATATTCTGGCCAGGGACCAGCCAGCACCTGGTTTCATCTCAACAACCCACAGGCAGACCTTTTCTGGCTGCAACGGGGACCTTGGTTGCCCAAAGAGGTCAGTTTCCTTTTCTTCCAGTTTTGACAGATCAGCTCCTCTTCCCTTTTGCCTTAAAAAACCACATCTCTGTCCTTTACTATAGATGTTAGCAAACTTGAAATTGGAGATTAGGGGCTCTAAATCTGGGGTTCCTTACAGATTCCAATCTTCAGGATTTCTTCTTCCCTTCCAGTTAAAGACAGCCCTCAACAGACTTGATCCCAAATAGCTCTGATTCAGGATCTTAGAAATACATGCTGTCTCCACTGGCCTGATCTCTGATGCCAACCCATTTCATGACCCTGGCCCAGTTACCAAATCCCACAAACACTTTTTTTCCCCATCTGCTAAAGAAGGGAGTTGGATAGAGTGAAATGGCCTTGTTTTTCTTTACATTTTGACGATGGAAACCCCAGGTATTTGGATAGCAGGCCACAAATGCCTTGCCTCCCAATGATGGCATACCTAGATTACAGATAAATTCCCCAGGAAGAACACAGTAGTCTGACAAGCCAAACCCACAAATGATTGTGGAAACCCTGAGTTTAAAGATAATGGTATTGTTAAGAAGGTTTGGCTGGCATTTAATTTGTCCTTATCCTAATGACTTTAGGAAACCAGATGTAAAAGAGTCCATCTGAAAGATAGGCAAACTCAAGTGTCATGTGCTTAGTTTGTTAGGACCCCATCCATTCATACATTTTATATTGCATCTTCTGACAAAAATCGAGGCAAATGTAACTAGGCTAAAAGCTCTTGATTGCTACTACATGATATAGAATCAGTTTTACTGTGTTGAGAGAAACAGGGACCAGAGGAGAAAGAAAAGAGAAGGAAAGCTGGAATAACTGAAAAGTAGCTAAGAAGAAAATGAAGAGAGGAAGGAAAGAAGGAAGGAGGGGAGGGAGAGAGAAATATCGTCCCTATTCAGCAAATGTCTATTATTAAGCAAAAAACTTTCTGTTTTTCTCTGGCTCTGTGCTCAAAAGGCCTCTGCTGAGCAGCATCGATAGAAGAACTGGGCCATGGTCCCCCTGCCAGGCAGAATCCATCAAGGCAGTGACAGCTCTCCAGAGAGGGTTTTCTGGCCCTGACGGAGCAGTATCCCAGAAGCTTCCTTTCAGGAACCAGTGTGGACCCAAACATACCTCAAGGCCAGGGGCAACTAAAGTAAGATCAAAGAAACTGGGCGGCGGGCTTAGAGAAATTGAGATTTGCTTCCCACAATGCTACACCCCTGGCACCAGGCTCATTGCATTGAGAGCTGGCCCTGGAGTCCTGGAAGAGTTATTGATAAGATAGTCAATCAGTTGACTTCAAGCTCCGTCTTTCTTTCTTTCTTTCTTTCTTTCTTTCTTTCTTTGGTACTAGGGATTGAACCCAGGGCACTTAACCACTAAGGCACATCCCCAATCCTTTCTTATATATTACTTAGAGACAGGGTCTCACTGAGTTGCTAAGTACCTCACTAATCTGCTGAGGCTGGCTTTGAACTCTCAATCTTCCTGCCTCAGCCTCCAGAGTTGCTGGGATTACAAGTGTACACCACCACGTCCAGCTAAAAGGTTCATCTTTATTGAGCACTTCCTACAGTGTCCTGGGGAGGTGCTTGACCACTACCTTCACGGCATTTGCAAGGGAAAAAATGTCATTGTGCAATTTAAAAAGAGCCACTGTTGGTAGCTAATCATGTTGGTAGCTAATTTTTATACAAAAGGAAGGAAAGAGGAACAAGGGAGGAGTCTACAGCAGCGAGTGACCCAATTTTAGGAAGCTAAAATCAATTCAACTGGCCCAAGGTCACCTGGCAAGTATTTGATAGAAATGGAATGTAAGCCCAGCAGCCTGGATCACAGACTCTGAATCCTGAGCCACTTTGACACCTGATCTCCATCAGTATAGTCAGGACATGGAGCCAGGGTATAAAGAAGATGACACTTCCAGCTGGAACTTGTTGCTTTGAGCTAGAAGCATCTACCAGGCAATTGACGATGCTTCCTGGCACTCTGGAAGACAGGCCTGCTGCAGAGGGTGGGGGTGCTTGAAAGGCTTTCTGTGCTGTCTGCCTACTCTCTCCCTGCTTGGAGGAGAGAGCATTGGAATTGGCTGTTTTGTTTCTGAGCTCGTCTCTAGCAAGGTTATATGTATATATATAGTCAGCAGCATATCATCTATTCTCTCTTGGCTCTTACAAAGGCACAAAGTCTTTATGGTGAGCCGATCAATGACCATTCAGAGCATTCTTTTCATCCACACACAAAAAAATCAATTAGTCAGACTGAACCAAAAAGAGGAGCAGCAGGATGGTCTAACTGATGAATCCTGCTTCTGAGAAAGCTTATACTGTGTAGTTATTCATTTAATCTTCAAAACAACTCCACGAGGTAGGTACTGTGATTGTAGCCATTTTTACACATTGACACATTCCCTATGGATGAAAGTCTTTTAAGTAAGATATGTATTTGTTGATGGAAAGAGGCCTGGGCTTAGAATAAGGACACATGGCTGGCAGCTCAGAAGTGTGTGATGGGTCTAAGTCTTCTCATCTGTAAAGTGGGAGCAAGGGGTTAAGGAATTCCTAAAGTTCCTTCCTGCTAAGGCTTATGGATTTTGTCACTGTCCCCAGGGCCTTGTCTTTTCATTGGCTTCCTGGGCCCAAGCTTAGCTCCTGCTGCCCCATGTCTTAGCAGGCACAGGCTTGTGGCTTCCACTCAAAGCTGTGCCTTCCTAACCCATGCCAGGGCTTTCATTGAGCGTCTGTCATCACTTCCTGTTTTTGGCATTAACTTGGGGGGTTGGGAGATGGCACCCTGTGGTGCCTGGCCAAAAGGCTGGCCCTTCCCTGATCTGGTTGGGAAGATGGGAGGACTATGACAGATGGTGAACAGAGCTACCCCTACCCCTGGGCCCCTGGGTGGCTATCACCTGCCACCTCTCTCCGGCTATGGTCTTGCTCTGCTGGCAGTACCCTCTGTGGCCTAGCCAGTCAGCCAAATGGCCTCTACAGTGGAAGACCACTGAGACTTAGTTTTCTGCTTCTTGCTGCTTTGATTTTTAAGTCAGCATTTTCATTCTGTTGGATGAGGACGTTCAGATCCTCTTCTGCTTCAAATGCTCTCTGGCACAGAATCAGGGAAAAAAAGAGGCTCATTGGCCCTCTGTTCTCCCACTGGTTAGAAGGCCTGCAGGCAGGTGGAGGCCACGTCCAGAAGGAGGAGATACTCGCCAGGAAGTGAGTGTGGAGGGAGTCGAGGCCTGGACTTTGGGCCCAGTTTTGCCTTTTCCTGTTCCTCTCAGAGACATGATTGTGACCTAGAGGTAGGAGGGAGTAGGAAAGACCTCTGGGGGTCTACCTCTGGGGGTCTTTCCTGGTCTCAAACCATATCTCTACATCAGAGTTGGCACATCACAGCCCAGCTGGATGAATTTTTTTTCTTTTTTATAAATAAAGTTTTATTGGAAGCCCATTGATCATAGGTGCTTTTGTGTGCCAGAGTTGAATAGTTACAACAGAAGCCATATGTGGTCCACAAAGCCTAAAATATTTACTATCTGACCCTTTATAGAAAAGCCTGCCAACTTCTGCTAAACATAGCTCTTCTCCCAGTTGTAGGGTTCTAGAAATGACTGTTTCTCTCCTAAGCCGAAGCTGTGTAATAATACAGGCCTCTTGTAGCCAGGTGTGTTTTCAGTTTATGTGCACCACATGAATGGTCTATTATATATCACCCCTGGTGGGATCTGAGACAACAGGTCCTAATCAAACACACTAATTTTTCTGTAGTGAAATATATAACTATTCCTACTTTATGGGATAAATATAACCATAAATAGATTCCCATCATTTCAGGCCTGTCTCCACCCACTGAATGTGTTCACATGTGGCTGCCAAATGAGATACAAAAATCACTTTCAGTGTCACAGTCCTCTTTGGTAGATTAGGAGGCTGAGATTGAGAAAGGAGGTACAGTGCTGAGGTCGGCCACCTTGTGAAGATCAGGGCCCAGACTACACCAGATGTCTCTCCAAATTCCTATCCCAGCCTCATTGCAGTCTGGAGTTCATCCCTCTGACCCCTCCCTCCTTCACAAACCCTCCTCTGAAAGTGAAAGTCTATATTTACTTCTGACTTTTCCAATTTTTTAAAATCTTTTTTTTTTCTTGCCTTGAAATCCATCACTTAATTACCTGCCACATGGTGTCGTTATGCCTCAGTGGTCTTCTCATCTCTTTGAGGACAGGGTCTGTGAATTCCATTTGTTCTCGTCTTCCCTACAGGATTGAAGGGCCAGTATATCAGTGATGATCCATGATAATCCATTGTTGATTGAAGAAAGTATCTAACTGATCTGAGTGCTGAAACTCACTTCTCATACCCAGCAGGGTGTGCAATAGGGAAGGGGGAGTTCCCCGCACCTCTGAACTAGCATGTGGAACATACCCATTTGCCTCCAGTGAAAACCCTGACACTCCACAATCAGGATGGCTGGGAGCAGGGAGCTTGGAGATACAAACGTGGAAATGAAGCTGTGTGTGTGATTTGTTAGGCTGGTAAATGCTGCAGGCAATTCATAGGTAATGCATACAGATATCTCAATGATCAAGGACAACCAGCAGTCAAAGGTGACCTGTGCTCTGTGGTTGGTGTCAGCAAGGAGGACAAAGACAAAGTCTGCATTTAGGGAAAGCATTTAGGTGAATCTCTTAGCTGAGTGCTCCTGTGGGGCTTGGATAATGCTGATGAATATGTGCATTTTGAAGTGGTCAGGAGTTGATCTGATCATCTATCACATATAAAGATGCCTTTGGGAGCAACTAACCCTTTCTCTGCTGATGAGAAGTCCAACCCCTTATGAGGAGGTGCCTGGGCAGCATCACAACAGCATTCATCATCATTATCAGACGACATCACTGCTGGGTGGGTTACTAAAGAGCCTGCTTCTGGGGTGATTGGGTGAAGCTGTCACTGCCCTCACTGGTCTTCCGATCCAACCATTTGCAGAAAACACTAAGAGACCATGTGGGTGGCTGGTGGGTGAAGCATGGTGAACTACATGTGAATCTGACTCTGCCATGTAGTAGCGGCTAGCTGACCTTAAACAAATTCCTTACTTTTTCTGAGTTCAGATTTTTATCTGGGAAAGGGGTTATTAGTAACCCCTCTTTCTCAGATTTGTTGTAAGACATAATGAGATTGTCACTATTAAATATTCATAGAAGTAAACCATAAATCCCTCCCCTTCCTGCCCACTTTTTGGTCTCTGAAGGCAAATGGTAACCAGGGAGGGCATAGGTGTGGCACACATACTACCCTTCTCCCTCTCAAGGCATAGGCAGGCATTAATAATCAATCAGCACCCTAGACTCTGTTCTGCTAAGCTTAAATGAGTCCCCGATACCTTCAAAACAATGTTACAAGCTACCCGACCAATGAGGACCTCAGGCCAGTCCTAATACAATGCAATCAGCTCATCCCTAGATAGTGGGGAGTCTCAGAGCCTAAGTGAGTTAAGATTACAATAGGATCAAGAATATTTGATGGACCACTGGGACAGGAATTTGTTTAGATGAAAAACAAGGGAGCCTTCTGGAAAAGAATTTATCCTAAGAGAAGAGAGAAGAGAGCCATACAGCTTAAATTCAAGGATAATGACCCATGTTGTAGGAGTGGGAATGCAGATTTTGCTAGACTGGAGTCTGAGCTACTCTCCACTTGACTGAGCCTGGGCCCATTTTTGCAGGAAAATATAATTTTTTTTACAAGAAAATTATAAAAGAGCAGTTTCACAGTGATGGCCAAAGATGATGAAGCTCTAAGACAGCAACCATTGCCACTATGGAAGGGGAGTATACCTCCAGCCTCCATACCCTTGCCAAGTGTCGGCATGGGAGAGAAGAGACGTGGGCAGGAACTGGACATTGGCAGCTTCAGAATGAGCAGCAGCAGCAGGACCCTTGGTGGCATTCCAACACAACTGGCTTCAGCAGGCACCATATGTGGTTGTTGTCTGTGCCCTTGACTGAGACCAGCACAGCAAGGCAGAGCTGGTGAGCCAGCTGGTATCAGGGGCTCTAAGACTCCCAGAGTGAATCACCACTGGAAACCCCAGAACTACTGGGGGGAATTCAGTGTCCCTTAGAGTGAATAGGAGGCAGCCAGAGAAATGTTTTAAAATATTATTCCTTGAACTCCTCCCAATCTAGTCCCTGGTGGCCTCAGAAACTACTGAGTCAGTATATGATCTGGAGCCCTCATACATCTACTTTTTTTTTTTTTTTGTACCCGGGATTGAACTCAGAGGCACTCAACCACTGAGCCACATTCCCAGCCCTATTTTGCATTTTATTTAGAGACAGGATCTCACTGAGTTGCTTAGCACGTCACCATTGCTGAGCCTGGCTTTGAACTCCCAATTCTCCTGCCTCAGCCTCCCGAGATGCTGGGATTACAGGCATGTGATGCTGTGCTCAGCATCTTCTACTATTTTTTGAGGAGTATTCTTTTTGTAAGTTACCTCTGGAGTCATCATATTATGAAATAAATATTTGATATTCCACCCCACTTCCTGACTAGTAACTCCTAAAACCCTTGTAATCTGGTCAGAGTATCTTTTTTATGCTAATGAGATGACTAATAGCTGGCATATCCTAAAGGCTTCAAGATGTAGGCTGATCATAAGAAAGATCAACAGGTGATTAGAGGGTTGCAGAGAGGAGAAGGACTAGAGGTTGAGCTGATCACCAATGACCAATAGTTTAATTAATCACACTTATATAATGGTGTTTCCATAACCCCCCACTTCCCTCCCCCCTCCAATTCATGTGGCTACATGGAGCTTCCTGAGAGCTAAATGCATGAAGGTTCCTGAAGGGTAGCGTGCTCAGAGAGGGCAGGGAAGCTCTGGGCCTCTTCTCATGACTTGCTCTATGCATTTGGCTATTTATCTCTATTCTTTATAATAACTGTGTAGGTGTACGTAAAATGTTTCCCTGAGCTATGTGAGTTACTCTAGCAAATTCTTCCAACCCAAGGAAGAGGTCATGGAAAACTCCCATTATATCCCGTTGATTAGAAGCATAGGCCACAACCTGTGCTTGTGACCAACAACTAAAGGGTGGAGGGAGTTGGGAGTTCTGTGGGACTGAGCCCTAACCTGTGGGATCTGACACTCTCTTCAGGTAGGGAGGGGCATAATGAAATTAAAGAATGCCCGCATATCTGTGGGGGTCACAGAAACATTGAGTTTAGTGTCGTGGGAAGTGGAGAATAGGAAAAACCTAATTTGGGGGATGGGATTGTGGCTCAGTGGTAGAGTGCTTGCCTCCCATGCAGGAAGCACTGGGTTTGATCCTCAGCACCACATAAATGTAAAATAAATACATTGTGTTCACCTAAAACTAAGAAATAAATATTTTTTTAAAAAACCAACCTAATTTGGCTTTTCTTCTACATGTGAAAGGTACAGATCCAATGAGGTTGTGCCTCATCGTGTCCTCCACAGTTTCCAGAGCAACTGATATGATGGTAGTCTCTGAAAAATGGCTGGCCAAGGGAATGAAGAGAGGAGTGAATTAGTGGAAGGAAGGAAGGAAGGAAGGAAGGAAGGGTGGGTACACACACACAACAGTGTGTGCCCTAAAAGCCAGTGTTGCTGGTCTCTTACTGATCAGCATTTCAGTTTTCTCTCATTCCTCTCTCTTTCCTGTTTTTTTTTTTTTTTTTTTTTTGGTACCAGGGATTGAACTCAAGGGCACATAACCACTGAGCCACATCCTTTTTATTTTTTGAGACAGGGTCTCACTAGATAACTCATAGCCTCACTTATTTGCTGAAGGTGGCTTTGAACTCTTGATCCTCCTGCCTCAGTCTCCCGAGCCCCTGGGATTACAGGCGTGTGCCACTGCACCTAGTTTCTTTCCCTTCTTTCCACACATTTCTTGTTTCCTTTGTTTTCACCACCCTTGTCTTTTCTCCTTTGTGAGCTTCCTTTCTCATGGTTTCACTCTTCCGAGATCAGAATGAAAGTCTGGATCAATTTTCCATTAATTAATTCATTAATTAATTGAGTCAATAATTATTTATTGGTCTCCAGCTGTTCCTTTGTCCTTTCATGTAGTCACTTGACAAGATGTTTATTGAGCATCAGACCAGTAGTGTGTCTGATGTGGTGCCAGGAGTTAACTAATAGGGAGACAGTAAGTTCTCTGCTCTCTAGGGTCTGACAATCTGAAGCACAAAGCAGACAGGAAATGGCAATTGCTGAGCTCTGCTGACCCATGGCTCCCTTCCTGATCAGTTGCCCCAGTTCGGGTTGTGAAGGTCAACTCCTCGACCCCCCACCTCCATGTTGTTTTGCCTCTTGCCCTTTGTTAATTGGTCTAGCACACTGCCTGGGGTAGCCACATAATTAATATGGCATTTACAGAGCAGCAGGCCCTCTCCTCACTGCCTCCCTTCACCCTGCTCCTCATTTGTTCAGTGGCTCATGCTCCTTCAATCCTCCCTGCTCCTCCCTATCCTCAGCTCTGTGAATTAGAGAGATCTTGGAGTGTTTCTGGAACTCTGACACCCAGCACGGAAGCCCTGTCTATAGCCTCCCCAAACCTGGTCCCTCAGCTGGGGCCTACCTCCAACAGCAGTCAGCCCCTCTCCTTCATGAGCCTCCTGTCTTGGCTCCACAAAGACCGATCCACATGTTTAGCTCAAGTGGACACACTTTATCCAGACTGCAGCTTGGAGCTCAACACAATCCTGACACATCTTTTAGTTGCAGCCTATCAGATATTGAATTTATAGCTCTTATGTTCCTTTTCAGGATTCTCTTCTTTTTAATTTTATATTTTAAATATTCTTTTAGTTGTAGATGGCACAATACCTTCATTTTATTTATTTATTTATTTTTATGTGGTGCTAAGGATCAAACCCAGTGCCTCACATATACTAGGCAAGCAATTTACCACTGAGCTACAGCCCAGCCATAGGATTGTCTTCTTGAGGATAAATATTTCCAAGTTATCAATTTTTTCAAATGCAAATATGACCTCTCACAATACTGAAGAACTTTCTCTGGTCAGAATCTAGTTTTCCTCTAGACTTTCTTTCTTTCTTTCTTTCTTTCTTTCTTTCTTTCTTTCTTTCTTTCTTTCTACTGGGGATTGAACTCAGGGGCACTCAATTACTGAGCCAAATCCCTATTTTGTATTTTATTTAGAGATAGGGTCTCACTGAGTTGCTTAGTGCCTCGCCATTCCTGGGGCTGGCTTTGAACTCGTGATCCTTCTGTCTCAGCCTCCAGAGCTGCTGGGATTACAAACATGTGCTACCACACCTGGCTCCTCTAGATTCTTTAAAAAGAATCTTGTCCCCACAATGGACAACTACCCAGAGGGCTGCCAGGCAATTGAGGTCAGCTGGGTCATTGTCTGGTTTAAAGTGACCTTTATACCTATTTGTACGCCTGAAGTTTGCACTAATTACTATTTACATACTCTCGCTCTTATTGAACTGATAACCAACTAAAACCACCAAGTCTTCTTGTATGAATGAAATAAGAGAATTCTAGGTTGAAAGCAAGAGAAACCACAAGACTATCTAGTAGTCCAATTCACTAATTTTGCAGGACAGGAAACAGGTCCAGAGAGGGCCAGGTTCTATGCAGAGGCTTGCAACTTATGCAGAGTGGAGGTGGTATGGGTTCTCTTGACTCCTGTTCTGGTGCTCATTCTGCTACATCAGGCTGCCTCCTGATTGGCAGCCATTTCAGGGAAAAAGTGGAATGTGTCTTCTACTTTCAAGTCAGTTTTTCTCATTCAATATTTTGTGCTATTGGGTTTCTGAACCCCATGAATGACCCTGAGTTTAACCCTTTTAGGTTTCAGCTTACCTATTTCTTCAGGCTGTCAGGATCACTTCCTGCCTTGTTTTTGCCAGGCATTGCTGTGGCAGGTCCTCCCCGTCTTTGGTCTTATGTTAGGCTCATATATGGAACTTCCTCCAGCTCTAGAGGCTCTTCATTCTGTGCCAAGTGCCAGCTTGTCCCACTGCAAGCCTGGCAGGGAGGACATACTGCCTGGAGACAGACAATGGACACTGTGCTTCCTCTTCGGCTCCCCTGCTGCCTGGCTCTTGCCTTCCATGTGAGTCCTTCTCCTTCCACTTGCTTCCTGTCCTGCCTAGTCTATTGGGAGCCCCACAAATCCACTTCAGACTCCACTACCAGAATGTTGTAGTGGAAGCCTCTGAACTAGGCACATATAGATGCTGGGTCCTCTCACTTTCTGGATTCACATTATTTCTGTCTCTGTCATCTCTACTTTCTCATCTGTGTAGTGGGTGGAGATGGAACTCACAGCTAGTGAACATGTGCTCTGTACTCGTAGCTGCCAGTGGCTTCATATAATTGTCACCAATATCCCACTCCCTTAGTAGACAACATTCCTATTTCAAAGAAGAGAAGACTGATGTCAGAGAAGTTAATTTGCCAAGGATTTTGCAAGCTGGTAAGTGAAAGAGTTTCTTTACCCCCTGTCCTCTCTTGTTGAGTTATTATAAAAATCAAATAATTTAGTAATGAATGTGAAACTGATTTGAAAAGAATAAAGCATGTAAAACATAAGGGAGTATTATAAAAGACTGAGATTCCTTGCTTGTGCTCTCTGCTTCTCCTTTTCTGTCACCTCTCTTAAGTATAAACTGCTGCCTTTGGTCCAGACCTATCAAAGAAATGTCATAAAACCATTTTTCAAAATGTCAAATGCCCATGTACTTTAGCCCAAAGTAATTAAGCCCTTTTATTTTCTCTAAGTCACAATGCAGAACCCTGGGAGCTTCCAGAATGCGCCCTTTCTCCTCTATCCTGGACTAATGGAAATCAAGGCTGAAAGCTGAGCTTGCTGGGGAGTCCACGAGAGCCCTTCAGTGCCACAGAGGCCTGGCCTGACTTTGGCGGGTCTCCAGCAGTGACCACAGAGTGCTAAATAATAACAGGGTTGAATTATTTATCCAGGGGCCAATGACTTGTGATGGCATGGTTTACTTCTAGCAGAGTGCCAAGGTTCCTGGGTCTACGGTAAGTGGGTGGCAGAGGGAAGACAGCAGTCCTGGTCTCTAGACTGCCAGTCCTGCCTCTTCCTCCACTGCTCCCCAGAATCACCCCACCTTGTGTACAGCAATCCAAGCAAGGGCACCATGCCTGGGGGCAGCTGACATTTCAGTGACATTATTGGCTATTGACTCTGAGCTAGATATTTGTGAATACATTTTCCCAAGCATTTCTATAGCAACCTTTATTTTGCCTGTTTTCCCCAATGAAGAAATTGAGGCTTATGCTCCCAGTGACACAGTTGGCAAAGGGCAGAGCTAGAATGAAAGCCTGGGTCTGATATATCTAGGACACCACGTGTGCTCTTAGAATTCCTTCTTCCTGACAATTACTTTTATGAGCACAATCCAGGAAGTTTAGATGGTGCCAGCCATGATCTTGGGGAGCAGTGGATTCTTGGCCTGGTACTTACAGCCCTTCATGATCTGGTCCTGTTCTAGTTTTTTTTTTTTTTTTTTTAATCATTGCATTTTGTTCCTTCATAAGAATCACCTGGGAGCTTTAAAATACAGATTCTTGGATCTCATTCTTAGTTCACTATAATCCTAAAAACCAGTGCTAGGACCCAGGAATTAGCATTTTTAAACCCAAATGATTATGATGATCTGTTGATTTGGAAGCCATCAACTGATCATCACAATCAGGCCAGCTTTCTCATTAGTACATTTCCAAATTACCATCTATATGTCCATCTCAATGACCTTGCTCAATTCCATGCACTTCACTTAGATTGACTTTTCTTCTACCCATTATTCTGTTAAACCAGCTCATACTCCTTAAAAGGAACTTGACTACCACAGCTTGTAGAAATGTGTATGTTAGTTAGGATGTGTGTTTAGAAGCTGAGAGAGACCCAAGATAAGAGTTTTGCCTCATTTGACACCTAGAAATACATGTCTGTCTTCGCTAACAGTGCAGGAGTAATCAGTTCAGTTGTGGCTCCAGGGCATCAGGAACCCAGGCTCCCACAGTCTCGATTCTCATCCACCGTGTAATTAGTGCCTTTGGTTCCGTGACCCAAATCAGCTCATCACCACACCCACACTCCAGCCAGCAGGAAAAGGAGAGATGGAGGAAGGGGGACCAGGAATTGCCCAGAATGATTCTGATCACATCTCACTGTCCAGGATCTGATCACATGGCCATATTCAGCTGCAACCAAGGCTGAGAAATTTAATTTGTTTTTACTCAGTATAATTTCTATCAATCATGCTAGAGAAAGGGGGAAATGAATATTGGGGAACAACCTAGCAGGTTCAACTTTTACCTTGGTTTGTTATTCTCTGTTTGTATCTGTGTTCTCAGCTAAACTATGAAAGCTTTGTGAGAAATGGACCCCTGACTGTACCTGTTTGTGATCATTCTATGTGTCTAACATACGGAAAGCACAAGATGAATGTCGCTGATTGGCAGAATAGACTACAGTGATTACAAAGCTCTGGGATGTGTCAGATTTTTATTTTAGCCCATGTTCTCCACAATTCAACCTCTCCAGGCTTCCATTTCATAGAAATATAACATTTAATTGAAAGGTATCTTTGATGTCATCTAGTTCAATCCTCTCATTTTACAGATGAAGAAACTAAAAACCAGAAAGGTAATGACTTATCCAGGACACAAAGCTTCATAAAGAGAAGAACTAGAGCCTAGGCCTTCTGGAAACCAACCCAGGCACTATATGAAGTTCTCTTGCCATATCTGGAAAATGGGTTCTAGGGACAAGGTGTTCTTAAAGTCTCCTTCCAACAAAGAAACCCTAATGCACAAACAGAATATTTCTACTGGGATAATTTCTAAGCACTCAACCATTGCATTTGCTAGATGTTGCTATGTATTGTAGCAGCTTAGACAGGTGAGCAAGAGGTGGAAAAGTTCAGAGCTTTGGGCTCCAGGGTCAGTGAAGACACAAAACTAGGTGGAGAAGGCAAAGGAGAGAAATGTGGATGAGACCCTACTGCCTGGTCACAAGCAGCAATATCCCCTGTGAGCTGCTCTGAGATGACACTGTTGTTCTAGGTGCTGTGGAGCAGCTGCCCGTGGGGACTTGGGATCCAGGTCACACACAGTTAAATGGCAGTGGAAGAAGATGTATGTAACAATCAACAGAAGAAATGTCACAAGGCAAACTGGCCATCTTAGTAATAAGAGCTTCCATTTATTGCTAACTGCAATGTGTGCCCCTCAGTGTGATAGGTATTTATTTTATAGGCTTGATCTCATTAAATTCTCACGACAAGCTTCTGGGATTACTGAAGGTCATACAGCTGGTAAGTGGTGATTAATTGTCGGAGGAGTGGTGTGAAGAACATAAATTATGGAGCAGTTTGGAAAGAGCGAAGCCTGTGGATAGAGAGAGGTCTGGAAAGGCTCTGTGGGGGAGGAGAAAGTTAAATCGGGTCCTGAGCATAGAAGGGATTTGTGGGAGAGGGGAAGAGGAAAAGGGAGGGCCGATGGCAAAGGCAGCCTTGGTGAGGGGAAGCAGGGAGTGAGTGAGGTCCCAGGTAAAGTACGAGTCAGAGCCAAGGGCAAACACCCAAGCTGTGGAATTGTGAGGCTAGGGAGTGATGAAGGGGAACGACACACCAATAATCATTCTCAGGAAACGAAAAGGATAAAAAGTCAATGGACACTCCATGGCTCACCCGTGGCCTACTGCCAAAGAGAAGAGGAGAGAAAATGACTGGAAGACTCTGAAAGCAATTTGTGTCAAGAGCCTTACAAAGAAGTATATATCCTTTCATCCAGGAATCTCGCTTCTAGGATTTACCCAAAGAAAATTTCAGAGACAGAGTGAAACCTGGAACCAACTAAATGTCTAATAGTAGGGAAATCATTGAATACATTATGGTACATCTGCATGACTAAATGTTATGTAGTTTTTACAGAACATACATTTGAAGAATATGTAACGATAGCACATAATGTCAGGTAAAGAAGCAGAATGCAAAACTGCAGTGCAGAAGTTCTTAACTTTAAATTATATGTATTACATGAAATTGTATGTGTGTACACATAAACAAAGGAAAAGATCAAAAGAAAAGATAGTGTATTTAGTGTAGTTAGCATCACATGGTAGGAATATGGGTCATTTAGTTTCATTTTAAACTTCAATATTTACCAAGTTTCGTTCGGTGAATACCTACTTTTATAGTAATCAAATGCTCATTTTATTTTTTGGGGGGGAGGGTAACAGGGATTGAACTCGGGGCACTTGATCTTTGAGCCACATCCTCAGCCCTAGTTTGTATTTTATTTAGAGACGGTCTCACAGAGTTGCTTAGTGCCTTACTTTTGCTAAGGCTAGCCTTGAACTCACAATCCTCCTGCCTCAGTCTCCTGAGCTGCTGGGATTATAGGTATGCGCTACCGCTCCTGACTTGAAATGTTCATTTTTAATTTAAAATCTCTGAACACTAAACATATCTGCTTTGTCTTTAAAGACAATTCATTATCTATTCCCCCACGCCTCCAACACAAATAGTCCAACTAAATGATTGTTCCATGGTTGCTGCATCCACAGAGTCTGGAAGTTTGTGCAAACCTGGTTTGCCCGGGTTCCCACGTAAAGCTTCCTGTCTCCTGGCTTCCACTGCATTGCAAACACTGAAGTTTCCCATTAATGTTCTGTGTAGCCATTTAGATAAATTGTCTTCCTCAGTGTCATAACTCTTAAATGAACAACACTCTCATTTCAGAGGACAGGCACCAAAGCTTCTTTCAAACTTGAAGATGTATGTGTCTGTGGCTTTCAGAATGCCAGGGGTCCTTCATCAATATCTGCAGGGCCTTCCCAAGTGTAGGAATGTACCGTGTCTGGTGGAAAGACATCACTGTACTTGGATCGCTAGTTTTCACCTTTATCCTTCCTGTTGGGTATTTATTTTTCTTCCTTCCTCTGAAATAGTTGAAATATTAACAGAGTAAGAGAGGCAGTACATTAAATATAACTTGATCAGAACCCTCCTGTCTTCAGCCTCACTGCTAGAGGGGCAACAGAAAGGTTAATAACTAAGAGAGGCCCCCCACGCACTTAACCACAGTGCAGCACCCTATCACCAGGTGACAATTAGAAACCTTCCATGAATGCCAATGACGAGTGATCAAACAGAGCTTTGCCCAAACCAGGCGGACCACTACATTAGCTCAGCTCTCCATTCATCACGGAGCTGACAGCCTGCTGAGCTCAAGGTTGAGTACGCAGCTCTGCCTTTCTGTGTTACCCAGTGAAATGGTCCATGCTGCTAGGACTGAGTGGGAGAAGAGTTGGGGAGGGAATGAAGGAAATGAAACAGGCTTGTCTTGGGCGTGCTTGGGCAACAGCTCAAAGTGTCTGAGACTTGAAGAGAAATGTTGCATAATGATCTTGCTTGTTCCTGCTTGCAACTTTCTGGCTCTCATACAGGGATGGTCCTACCTCAAACAACTTTCACTTTTTGGAGGCAGCATGACAAATTGGAGCAAACACCTAGTCAGTTATAAGACTTTGGACAAGTCACTCAGGCCTGTTTTCTCATCATCCGTAGAGTAAATGGGCTGGATGAGAGTAGCAGTTTTCAAACTGGGCTCCTTGGGGTGCTAAGTTCCACAGAGCTGACTTAGACTCTGCCAGGTGTGCTTCCTGAGTGTGCATGGGGTGGGTAGACAGGTAAATACTAAACCCTATTGGTCCATGTGAGCTTATTGAATTATATTTGTAGACTACTTTAAAATGGGCAGATTGTGGTCTTACCTATGAATCTCATTTGATCCTCACAATTTTGTGAGGCAGTCAGGACTGTTGTGACCTTCTGCTCTATTTACTGAGTAACAAAACACTCCAAATTTGATGGCATAAGACAACCATTGTGTTATGGATTCTTTGAGACAAGAATTCAGATGGGCACAATAGTAAATGCTTTTCTCTGCTCCATGATGTCTGGGACATTTACTGGAAGACTCCAAGGCTGGGGGCAACTCAAGAGCCAGGGGCTAGACTCATCAGGATGTGTATTCATTCTCATGTCTGTCAGGGGGAACCTCAGGTGAAGTATTGATTGGAATACCAATACGTGGCCTCATTCTATGGTCTCATCACCCTGGCTGGTTTGGGCTTTCTCACAAAATGTAAACTGAATCCCCAAAGCTATTGTCCCATGAGTACTTCAGAATTGCTCTGCATTTTTATAATTGAACCTCAGAAGTCACATAATATTGCTTTTACCATGCCCTAGTGATTGAGGCAATCCCAAATCGCCCAGCATCAAGGAAGAGGACATGATAGGAGAAGAATCAGTGTCACGGTGCAAGAAGAACATGTGGAATGGGAGATAGCTTCGGAAAATACGATCTGCCAAGTTCTCTTCATTTGAAAGATGAGGAAACAGGAGGATTAATATACATCTCTTAAGAGTAGAACTGCTATTAGAACTGATTCCTTCAAATTTGAGCTCTTTCTTCACCATGCTGATTTGGGCTCTTCATTTTTTCTTTCTGAGTTAACTCGTTAATTTAGTAAATAGATTGATTCAAGTATGAATCCTTAATATGAAAGTACACAACCAGTTTCAGAGAACAATGTCTTCTAGTGAATGGAACATTTTGATCTGATCTGTTCACAGAAAATTGGGATGGAAAATGTATATAACTTCCATTAATATTAAGGTAAAGGCAAGGGTTATTTGTGTCTCTTTCTAGCCTCCAGCCCAATATCAGGAACATAATCAGCACTTAGTAAAGGTTTTTAGTTTCTGTTTATTTGTTTTTGTTTTATGAATTGACATTTAAAATATTTTCCAAAGTCAAAGCCATGTAAGCCACTCTTTAAGTTTGCCTTGGTGGTTTCTATGTGAAGTTTATTTTTATCTTTATCCATTCTCACAACACCTAAGTATGTATTTCCAATTTATCAACAAGAAAAATGAGAGCTAAGCAATCAAGAGAGAGCCAAGAACACAGGGTGGAGTCTGAAAACAAGAGTTTGACTCTGGGGAAGTTGTGAAGTGGAAAATTTTTCATTGATCCAGCAGCCATTTACTGGGACTTGGCAATGCCTGTTCCTATGTTCAACATAGAATCCAGAGGTGAGGCAAGTATGCTCTCTCTCATTGAAATCCTCACATTCTAACGAAAATGATAAACAGCACAATCAGTGCTGAAAGGGAGCCTGAACGAAGTGCTGATGGAACACAGCGGGAGCAGCAGTGGACACTGCCTGGGAGATAGATGGCTTCACAGAGGAGAACCTGTACCTGGAGGGAGAGGTAAGAGCTGCCCAGGCAGAGACAGTGGGGGTAGAAAAAAGTCCTGAGCTTAAGGAATGCACACAGGACACAGGGACATGAAAGGACATGATGTATCTTAAGAACGGTAGGCAGCTGGTCCATGTTGGAGGTTAGGTGTAATGGGTGAGCAGACAAGCAGGGGAGGAGACTGGGAAAGTAAGTCAGTCAGATTGTC